GTGTGTGTGTGTGTGTATGCGTGTGCGTATATACGCGATTAAACATATTATTATGGCTTATTCATCGTTACTGCATCGTGCGAACACAATGCACTTCGCTTTTTCGATATACGTCATTTATTAAAATATACGGTCGGCACATACGCATATGAGATGCGTGTAACCAATTAAACTTTGACGATTCATTTATTATTTCTGTCAGCGTTTCTAATTCATACATGATTGTGGAAATAAATTATTCGATGACGCGCACTACCGCGAGTGTGCGACTTATCGGGATGATTACGTCGTAAAAAGTCGTGAGATCGTGAAAATTTTGAAAGTTTGCGGCACAGAACTGGCAATATTGACAGTGCCTTCTTATCTTGAAGATATTACGAGAGAGAATGCCGATTCTCTTCGATCTTTTATTACTTTACTTTTCATTTGTTATTCAAATGTCGGCTCGTGTGTATCGACTCCGCCGAAAAGATACTATCCACACGCGATATTTCGCGCACGGAATGTCTCTCTTTCATGCGTACCTTTATAAAACCTTTATCATATAATTTCTCTCTTATTTATTTCACACATAAAGCCCGTTATCATGGAATAAAAATTAAATTAATTCAATGGTTAAAATAAAATAATTCAATAACCACACATGCATACAGTGGCACAAAAGCACACATTACATTAATATTTTACTAAAAAAGCATTTATTAAATACATTGTTAATAACATCGTTTTACCTTGATTTCACGCGAGTACAATTACTCGCACGCTTAATCGAATATTTAATATCGACCACGATGTTTTAGATATTTATTAATCAGCAACGTTGGTAACGGGAATCCCTATGTGAACATTTTCACGCGAAATAATACAGTTTTATAGGGGGAAAAAAGAAAATTCTCGAATCAGTAATACAAGATTTTTATTTTATATTACCCATATGATACTGTGTTATAAAGTACCTTATATTATAAAGTATCCCGTTAACTAGGGCTTTTCAATTTATTTTTTATGACACATCGATAAAGCATTATATTTCGTAGAGTACTTTAAAAGGAGATGCTGAAGCTGAAAATTTTACCGACAGAATACTGACATTTTCCTGTAAAATTTACGTCGTATTGGTGCAGAATTATAAATATTTTTACACAATGAAAAAATCTAAAAGCTAAATAAAATCACAAGCTGTTAATCAGCTGTCAGTAATATTTGTCTAATCCAAAAGTTCCGCAGCTTATATATACCGAAATTGTAGATGCTCCAAACAAATAAATTTTCAAGAACATTGCTGTATCTTCGCATCTGAATTCAAAAACTTAAGAATATCGGAAAAGATTGCAGAAAGATTTCTACACGGTTAGGTTTTCTGTTGAATATAGCAAAAGAAAGCAACATACATTTACGTAAATTTTGTAGGTTCAAGAAGTATGAAAAAGAAGCGTGATTGTATTAATAATCATCTTTGCGTTATCGATGTTTTCGTCATCGACTTCAGTATCACCTTAAGTAACTTAAGCAAAAATATTTTTCGAGAAGTGTGCTTAGTGAGCGCACACGTATCGATGCCTATATATCGAAAGCGCCAGTCTCGCCGATCGTCACGATTCGACAAGCCATTACAGTTTCTGTATTCGATGCAACGTGTTAGAAATAGATTTCCCAGCATCTCGCGGCACTGTACAGTTTTCAGCGTCAATAAAATATGTTCCAGTTTCCTTATCGCTGAAAAGAAAAATCGTTAGAACATTACCCGCCTCGAAGTGTACAACGAATCAATCGGCTCAGAACGATGCCCGGAATCGATCGTGATAACGGATATCTGTAGTTTTAATTTTCGGATCTGGCAACGCAGATATAGCGCGTAACGTAGCAACAGTTGATATAATCGAGTGTGAAGATGTAGTACCGCATTACATAAAATAGTTACAAGTGCAGTCGCGAAAGACCTCTTTTTTACGGATTAACGTGGATTTCCGTGCGACGCGCAGGTACAATTTGGTCGTAATTACGTTTAATTTCTTATTTCAGCGATTGTGTATACATATAGGTAAAGCTTAGGATATTCACAGTGAAATGGGACTTGGTGTAACAGTTTCATGTATTTCCAGAATATCTTCCACACGTAAGGCTGTCCGGTGCAGCGATAGTTCGGGATTAAGCGTACATCCCTTGTGATAATCTCTTTTGCTTCCTGTGCCTGGGATCTCTAGAGAATCAGCCATAAACCACGAAACCTGTCATAACTACTTTCTTCCCACGATCTCTCTGCGTTTGTGCGCACAAGAGGGTTGATACGAATACGAATTGCAACGCGAGAGCCGGACGAATTAGGTGGCTTCCGAGTTTCCCTTGGCGAAAAAAAGAAAGCGAACCAAAAATCGTCCGTCCCTTTCTCTCGCTCTTTCTCCCTGTCCCCTGCGCGATTGCGGTGTAACAGAGAAAAAGACGCGACGTGAAAAAGAAAAGAAAAAACGTATCCACGTGCTCCGCACGCGCGATTTAACATCAATTATAAGAGCGCGCGAATGACGCTCGGATAATAAAGTCCACCCGTTACATTTCCAAATCCCTCGGCATCGACGTCACGCGGACCGGGCGACCTGAAATAATTTAACAGGCACGCATGACGGGCCAAATAAATATCACACGAAGATCCCCCCCTACCCCTCCGTACTCGTTACACGTGTGAAAAGGTGCCGTGCGTCTGTATGCGTTCCCTATTATATATGTACCGGCGAGCTAGTCTGTACGCGTATGCGTGCTTGAAATTCAGTGAGGGCGGCAGCAATATTTAACTCAGTCTGAAATTCCTCTTTTTATGGACTTGTAAAACCGTGACAGGCACATGGGACCCGATCCTATGCCGCCGCACCACCCTCCCGTTCTTCGCCCCTGCCGTTTTGCCCGCCACCCCTTGTTGCTACCTGCATCCCTATCTCCCCCTCTCTCTCTTTTTCTCTCTTTTTTTCTCTCTCTCTCTCTCACTCACTCTCACCGCTCTCTCGTGCTCGACTCACACCCGCTGACGCGGTTAGATGGCAGTCTCGTATCTCTCTTGTCGTCCTCTTTCCCATCGCCGCGTCGGTCGTCGGTCCGCTGCCGGGTGGTACCATATCTACGACCACCACCTTCTCCACTTCCCTTTTTCCTTCGGCATCGCTATCCACCCACGCGTACTTCTCTACCTGTACCGGAGCACTCTCCGTACACATACACATACACACATACACACACACTCTCTCTCTCTCTCTCTCTCTCCTCTCCCTCTCTCGAAGCACTATTTCTCCTCGGCGACAAATGTAAAACTAAAACGTATCTCCCCTATTCTCTCTGTAAATATGCCGGTGCAGCTACCAGGCTGGCCCGGAGTTTTTCCTCCGCTTCCGTTTCCCCGTCCCCGGTCCCGGCCCTTCTCTTGTCCCCGCGTCGCCGTCGTCTACCCAACCATCTTCGCCATCCTCCTCACGATCATACGTATACGGCGTTCGGCGAATGGATAGCAGGGATGTCGCAACTGGGACGACGGCCACCGGTTGTTTTACTTTTCCACGAGAGAGACTGCTAGTAAACTCCAGCGCCGATGCACCTGCGCGCATCTCGCGACTGCGACTCTTACGACGCGCGCTCGTACGCGAAAATATGTTTGTACGGTGAACTGCGATAAGGCAGAGGGAGGAGTCTAACATTTCGTTAAGCGCCGGCTCATTTCGCGCCTTGTCAGCGAATCGTTGTTGCTCGTTTAGCCCGTTTTTCGCCGAGAGCCAAGAGCACTGACTCTTAAAAGTTTACTAGTCGCGCGCGATACGACACGCGCGACTAACGTTTCACCTAGCGTTGTTTGTCTAGAAATTCCTAAGGATGTCTCCGAAAATAAAGAAGAAATAGTTCTTTTTGTAATCGGAAATTCTCAGCTACTTGTACCATGAAACGAGATTCACGCGATTCCGGCAAAGCGTAAATCACGTGAAACTAAAATCCCGACAATCGTTCGCTACATCGGGCACGCCTGTAATTCCTGCGTCGCGAAACTACAAATAACATTTCGCGGCCAAGAGTCGGGGACATTCGCGGGGGATCGAAACGATGCGCGGATATAGCGTTTGCGGAATGTCTCCGCGATACGGCTGGCAGGTTGTATTAGTTTCAGGTCAGCAGCAGCTGGTGGACAGCGACTTTAAGAGCGGTCGTTTATGCGAGAAGTCGTAATACGCAGTCGTGGGGTCTAACGCCGGGTATATTCCGCAAAGATGAAAATATAGCGGCCGGAGATGGCCGGCGCGCGGAAGCATAACAAACGGCGATAGTACGAGCGGCGAATCGCGATAAAATATTTTGGACTTTCATGCCTCGCGATATATCTATCGTAGGACGCGCCCGTAAGTAAGCTGAGTTTCATAATTTTCACTCAGTGCGAATAGCGCGGTCACTCGCTATTGTGACGCCAAGAAGCGGAACATCTTTTCGCGCTTTTAAAGAAAAATGATGAACTCTACATGCGCGATTGCATTCCGTGCATGTGTGCGGACGCATGTTCCGAAATTCGCTAAAATTATCGACGCGCGAAACTTAAAGCGGCGCACAATATGCGGCGCAATTTGCATAATTGCGAT